TTTGTACTAATTTTGCGTCTCTTTGTGACAATTTTGCGTCTCTTTGTGACAATTTTGCAACTCTTACCAATGGCTTTATGACTATTTGCTGTATTTTTCAATCTCTCTGAGATCATATTGAGTCCGTTTCTGATTATTTAGCATCTTTGTGATCATTTTGTTTCCCCTCTGCAGTCCTTCTGAGTCTCCTTTCAGTCATTTGATTGGCTTTACAACAAATATGGGTCCCCTGGGCTTGTGCCTGGTATGCCTACCGTGTACATACTGGCTGACACCCCCCAGCAGGAATAACAAAATTAACACAAGAGTAAGCACTGTCTGTGAACAACCACGTGGTCCTCGAGGCGTAATTAGCTACATTATCTGAGAACACCTGTGGGTCAATCATAAGCGCGCAGGAAGCGTTTATCAATTTTTCTCTTGACAAGCAGCTTTGAACATTTTAGCCAAACTAATCTACAGCTTATTGCAGCAAATAACCTTGGTTTAAAATGCCTCAAATTCAATCTGAAATGGTTTATTATTATACATTTTTTAAGGGAAACCCCACCGATGTTACACATCAAATCTGTTTACGATTCTTGTATATGTGAAAAGCTTGCACTAAGTCTGATAAAGTGCCTCAAATGAGTAACTTGGGACAAGTTATGATTAAAAATCTGGAGGTGACGAGTTAGAAACCAACGAACTTACCAGACCTCATCTCTGCGTTTGGATAGCATGCGAATCTGTGACGGAGCGGTCGAGATGCATTGTGGGTAGTGTACGCCAAGGTTTTGCCAAGAAGAATAATCATTTAAATATGGTAAAAAGACGATTCCTCTGGTTCGACAGTTTTTAAACTACTGTGTTACACTTATTGCTGTAAAATAATGCATCATATTTATATGTTTATTGTTCTTTTAAATGGGAACTGATCAAGTAGTAATTACAGCTGTAAATTAAATGTAGTGGAGTAAAAAGTACAATATTTTCCTCTGAGATGTAATGCAATGCAGTTACTTTCCACCATTGCACAATTCAACAGCACCACAAACAGCATCCAAAATGATTATAAAGTTGAATTCACACCTCTCAAACAGTTTAAGTCAGACTGTTGTATTAGACTGCAATAGTTTGAACTAGGTGTTCCTAATAAACTGGCAACTGAGTGTGATTCAACACCACTTCCTCTAACAAAGACCTAAAAAAGTAGGATTCCTTTTAGAGCTGTTGAAATGGATAACATATTGCTCATGTGTATCAATGCAATATATATCATTTGGAACACTGTTTGATCCATTTCAGCAGTACAGACCAAAGTAATTAAAGTTTTTCTTCTTCAAACAAAATGTCACATTGCTCAATGTAATGTAATGTTGAAAAGGAAGAAGAAAATGGTGGATTTTTCCCCCCACCATCTTCACTCTTTTAAAGGTTCCTGACACACCTTGTTTTAACACTTTGAACTTGCAATTGTGTTCTTGAAATTAACATGGACGTTTGGTCTGTATGCTCTAAAAGAGCTCAGCATAAAACACAAAATAAAAAGAGCACACAGTAGTCTTGATGAGTTTTAATTACATCAAATGGATTTATGTAAAAGTGGAAAAGGAGGAAAACACTGGGTCTCATCACCACCTTCATGTTCAACATCACAGCAACAAAATGTGCACATGTTCTGTATGTACCGGGCAAGTTACAGGTCACCTATACTCCAGTCAGATTTATAAACAGGACCTTACTAATTCCCTATCAGAAAGTAGATACATGATATTGTTAAGGTATGATGTCAACTGTCAGAGTGCTTTTACTCTTATTTATCTGTTCAGAGCAGGATAGGAAGCGAAAGATGTGATGACTTAGTGCGACTTGTTCAATGATCTACTGTATGATGATATATAATTTAAGATAAGATGAAGAGAGTGTAGGGTTTGTTTCAGGGTGACATGGCTGCCAACTGTCATATAGGTGACCTGGAACACTCCCAAGATGAGTCTCTCTCTCTCGCTCTCTCTCGCTCAGATCACACAACCTTCACTCTTGATTGGCCGGCAACAAATGCCAATCACACAGCTGTAATGGCTTCCAGTCCGAGTCCTTTTGGCATCCTGGCAAGTAAAAGCCCCACTGAACACTGTCCTCCTCTCTGATTGGATAAAGGAAGTGGGGTGATTGGCTGATTGATTGCTCCATGCAAATTGTGATTCTTCAGTCTGATAGTAAGTTCAATCGGAAATGTTTGTACTGACATGCTTTGAAAATGGTTTAAGAACCTGACTAAATGTCTTTGCTTGTGCATGCCGCCCGTTTACAAAATCACTGATTTTTTTTTTATCATCATGGTGTCGGGCAGAAGAAGGTCCGGCTGACTTTGAAGTTGCACAGAAGGTTCCAAAGTGGAGTCATCAGTCTGGTTTAAGATTACCCTTTTGGCTGCTGTGTGAACATTGGCACTTCAATCTTAGTCCGCAGAGACTAGTGCACATCTAGGAGTCCGTCACACTGAAGGACACATGGCAGTGCAATCTGCCACAGCAGTCTTTATAGAAAAAAAAAAAAAGTCACCACAACATTTTCGAGTATTTTTCTGTTGTTTCCTTGATTCAAGGAAGAAAAACAAAACAGAGAAGGAAGCCACTTTTCTCTACTCAAGTGTCCTGGGTTTAAAAAAAAAAAAAAAGGGGGAAGAAAAAGAAACTGGGATATACAATCTTTTCTCACTGCAGACGGTCTCAGCAGATTAACTCTACTAGGCTTCAGACACACAGCTCCAAGGCCACCTTTATCTCTGTGTCCCAGGCAAGCAAACAGGTGTGGAAAGAGTAAGAAGAAAGAAAAGGAGACAGGTTAGAAAAATAAAGTAGCCAAGGTGGAAGAAAAAAGAACACAAAGACAAAGTAAAAAAAAAAAACAGAGAAAGAAGGTTAGAAGGCAGACACAGTATCAGTAAAGACAGTGATGTACAAGAGGAGACGGCAGCCAGCCTCCATACACATGCATTCTCAAGGGAAGGAGAAGGGGGAAGGATTTCAGTGCTACACCAAAGCCATGCAGCAACAATAAGCAGCCTGAAAACAGTAAAGAGCCTACTTTTTTCACCAGCAGGACACTCAGCAGTCACCTTTACCAAAATCACTATAAGCATCACGGAGGAGGGATACGGTGAGCTGCTGGAGTTGTAGGGGGATTTGGGGACACAAATGTTCATCCACTCAGAGCAAGGTGGTAAAATGGCCCATATGCCATGCAGACCAGGGTCCCATCAGGCTCAGTGAACAGGCGTTTGTCACCACGGGGACAGTGGGGCAACGGACAGGACAGTGAGGGGTTTAGGGGTAACAGTTTAGAGAAGCAGGGGAAGCAAGTGCATGGCAGGATGGACGACATCTGTTATACCATGTTTTAGGTTCCCATGGAGACAAGACTGAACAGCCCCCCTCCCCATCATCCCACCCCCTATTCCTCCCGCTCGAGCAGCACTCACTCACCACGCGCTCACAGCATGGTAGCAGACAGACGAGGGTGGGGGGGGGCAGGGTTTAGCAGCTTTGCTGCGGCTCCCCGCTCCTGCTTTTAGACTTTCTGCCCTCCTCATCTGTAGGACAAAGGCAATGTTTATGTTACATCTGTAGACAGTGACAAGAACATTTTCATTTACTTTATACCTGCATAAACTGTAGATCAAGATAAATACAATAAAGCAACTTCAAAGAGCAACTACAGAATACAAAAGCAGAAATAAATAAGGATCTAGATGCAGACAGTTCTACTAGTATTGGCACAAAAAGCAGTGCTCGTCTTTGATTATAACTTAATGATTACAACAATCTGTACAAGATCTTGTCAATCTAAAATACATAATCAAATATTATCCATTCTCAAGTTGTGGTGTGTCAGGATGGGTAAATAAAAGTTTTCACATACCAAAAGAAATGACGTTAGCTTCATTTACAAAACAATCTGACCACTGCAAACTATTCTCAACTTACGATACTGACTCCCTGTTTCCATAACTATCACAAACTACCTAAAACTAATAATCACTCTGGTCATATTCTACTTCCTTCAGTCAACTTTCACTTAACCAACTAAATCCTCCCCTCAGATCATTCTGGGAATGAAGCTACATCATTTTGTCACCAACCCAAGAAGTCCACCAGGTCAAAACCCTTCATCCACAGAGCAAATGCTCCAGTTATTATATATAAAAGAAAATTACAGAAAAAAGGTGTCATATGTATGAAAACAAACATAATACACATTGTCAATAGAAACAAAAAGAGGATAAACATAAACATTTTGATCGCAGAAATCAAAATGAGTGTTTCAGGTTGAACTGAGACAGAACAAAGCCATGCAGTTTAGTGGATAATGCAACTAAGTTAAAAGCAGTGAAGAAGACTCTCCCGTACACTAAAGCATCATGATAAACAACAAGTGAATCTATTATCTGACACATTGAAAGACTTTGATTTGAAGAAATTGCTACTATGAGATCTGTCCCACCTGCCTTATCAGACACAGTTTATATCTGACAGATTTTCTGCTGCTTTTTATGGCTGAATCTCTAACTTTTCTGCTCATAGCTACTTTGCGATTGAGGCTAGAAACAGAAATCCTAAGCCTTAACTGTGCTGTACAAATCCACAACAGCAGATAATAGTATAGTGTTAGCCAGTGAAACAGATTTGATGAGGAAACAATAATATGGTAAAAGCTGCTGGACGGAAGAACAGTTATCAAAGTCCAACCTTAGAGAACAGAACGGGACAGAAAAAAGGTCAGAACAGGAGGTGACAAAAAAAACAAAAAAAAACAAAAAAAAACAAAACAAAACAGCAAATCACCAATCAGCACCATGGCAAACAGAAAAGCATGAAACCAATACACCACACAGAGATAGACAGTGCTCTGATAAATACATGCAGAGGAGGATTTGTCATTTATCCTTCATTTCATTCGTCACTCTTTAAGTCAAGTCTTGTATAAAGATCAGCAAGCCAGAACCTCCCTGTCATTCACACACACCCGTACTCATACCACAGAGACTGGTTGTCCTCTGGGCTCAGTGACTGGTCCGAATTATTCACACGATTGGGGTCGACGCCCTCGTTATACTCTTTTACACTGGCTGGGCTGGATCTCATCTGGCCGTTTGATTGGCTGTGTGGGGTCTGGTTTTGGGTGGAAATGTGGTTTGGGATAGGTGCAGCTGAGGGGGTTTTATTTGTAACAGGTGGCCCACTGATATTGCTGACTAGGGTGGGGTTTAGAGACAGGAATGGAAGGTTTTTGCCCGCTGACTCACTAAAAATGGAGTCCATGAACACCGACTCTACAGTGAAGGAAGGGCCAAGGAAAGACTCGAGGGTGGAGAGGTCGGGGTCCTCCAAGCTATGGCAAGGCAAGCTGAGTGACTTGGGCAATGGGGTGGTGGTGATAAGGGATCCCTTTAGGTTGGTGCTGTTGGGGTGGTACTCACTGGGTGTAGGCTGGGAGCGTACCCCAGCCTTGGTGGACGCAACGGGAGGAGAGGTGTCGACCGACACGGGCTGCCGGTTGTCCTTCGAGAGCAGGTCGTGGATGCTGGTGCGCCGCGTGGTGCCTTCGGCCGTGGAGATGACGCTACTGGCCCGGGGCAGCGTGGAGGAAGCTGAATCCAGTCGTTCGGAGACGGATGTGGCCTTGCCCTGCGAGGACAGGCTGGAGCGGACCGGGACGGAGCCTTTCACACGGGTGCTCTCCGCCTTCCGCAGGGTCGGGCGTCCTGGTTGACCCGATGATCTCGGCGGGCGGTCGGAGCTGACCAGTGTTGCTTTCCCGCTGGATGAGCGCAATATGCCTCGGCCCTTTGTCGAAGTGCGTTCTTTCTGCACATGCTCAGATGAAGTGGGGAGGCGAGGAGAGTCTACAGTGAGGTTCTCCTGACTGCCAGACTACAGAAGACAGAGCAAAGAGATCATATCAGGTACAGTACAAAAACATCAATCAACAATTCTATTACAAGGTATTTTTATTTTTTTAATTTCTTATTTAAACAAATTTACAAACAAAAATCTCTATGTGCTGATTATGTTTAATATTGCCTTGAGTCTTGAAAATCAGTCAGAATCTGAGAGTCAGAGCTAAAACAATTGAATAATCCACTAATTGACAGTAAATTGATCACTCCAGTTCATCCAAAATTAGGATCTTTTGCTTTTTCTGTCAATCGTTTGTAAACACAATATCTTTTTTTTTTTAAACTGATAGTAGAAAAAACAAGCAATTTGAAGATATCACCACATGAGAATTTATAATGTACTTGTATAACACTTAAACACAAAAATCATTAATCAAGAAAATAATCAGGATTATAAATTAATAATGAAAATAATTATTAGTTGCAGCCCTACATTGATTCCTCATATTAATGCAAACCATTATGGTCATAAGTGAGAAAAATGTGACTTTTGTTTTCATAAAATCTCTAGTCTATTTTATCTGCTGGCTTTAATCAAATAGAAACATAACAGGAACAGAGCAGATCGGTTGTAACTGAGTTAGAGGCCTCACCTCTGCAGGATCAATACCCTCATCCAGGAACTGCTGCAGGGAAAGCACCTCACTGCCTGGGGATCCCGTCTTCCTGATCTGGGTCTGGCCTGGGCTGCCTGCGGCAGCAGACGGGTCGAGCGACCTGCGCAGCTGCAGGGGGCTCTGGTGGGAGGAGCGCGAAGAGGTGGGCTGCTGAACAGGGCTGCTGCCGCTGCTGGACCACACCTCCTGGTCTAAGCTCAGGCTGAACTCTCCGCTGCTCTCACTGTGAGGCCTGCTGAGGCTGCCATTCAGCGTGCCTGTGGGAATGGGAGGCAAAGATTAGATCACCGGGAATCTGATCACTCCTCCCCAAAGAAAAGATAAAGACTGTAGGAGTCTGATAAAATTCTGATAAGCTGTGAATTATAAATACTTAAAAACGTTTGCTGAATAATGAATGATTTATTATTCTTATACCATAGCACAGTAAAAGTGCACCTGTGACTCGCATTAAGACTCGCATTTGAGAACATGGCACATCATTTTGCCAGAAAAATGTCTTAAAAAATTAATTGATTATTTAAAAAGTAGGCAATACATTTTCTTTCAATTGACTAATCAATTAATCAGCTAATCATTGCAGCTCTAACTGATTTTAAATAAGTAAATGATTCATTCCCATAGGAAAGAAAATACTAACCCACAGGGCACATTAAAGTAGGTTTGAGTAAAGGCATGAAAGGCAAAGATAAAGGGAACAAAGGAGGATGGCAGGAGTGGTTAGTTTGGGGGGGGGGGGGGGGGGGGGCGGCAAGGGAAGGAGGTGCGTACCTTTGCCCTCCAGAGGAGAAGTGAGGTGGGAGTTATTGTTACTATTACTACTGATGATCCTGTTGCTATGGAGACTGGAGGGTCTGGTGGCTGGGTAAGGGACAAGAGGGAAGAGACATGCACACACATATACACACACAGTTAGGTTTTTATATATACGCATACATGTATCCTCACCAACGTGCACTAACACAAAGAGTAACATGTAGGCGCTCGGTAACAGTCTGATAGCACGTATCCTGCTGGGGCAGCAGATGGCACATGCCAGGCAGAGGGACAGGAAGGGTGGCTCAGTGCCAGGCTGCATCCCCAATATGTCCAGCTAGTAAACACAAACTATTGATGGAGAGGGCCAGGACACCTACATCCAAGGACCAATCCACCTTCAGGAGAAAGGGAAACTGATGGAGACAATACTGAATAACAGGGGACAACAGAGTGCAAGTAAATTAGTAATAAAAGAAAATTGGCATGCCTTGTTTCCTGTGCAAAACTGAGTAAGGGGAGAGAGAGTAAGGAGAAAGTGAAAGGGAGGAAAAAGAAAGGAAAGAAAAGGAGTGGTGACAATGTGACCTTGCTCTTTCCTGTGTTCGTAGGGACAGTTTCAGCTGGAAACCAGGGACCGTGAAATCATTTCAAACTGGTTTTCAGGACATGACACCAAATTAGAATTTTAAATTAACCTTCACATCACAGATCGGTATCAATATTCTTATTATGTCTAGGAAACCAGCCCATTGTTTGTGGCCCAGAGTGAGATTCGGTGCCAAGTAGTTGTCACTTACTACAGATGCTACAGGGCAGTCTGCACATAATGCTCAGCTCAACAGGGGAAGGATACAGAGCCAAAGCACTGCTATACACCTGCAGGCCTGATAAAACACACATACAGTACATGAACAATGCAACACACCCTGGTTGTGATGCATAACATGTTTGAAGAATATATCACACTACTCATTAATGCTGCCCACAATGCAAAACAAGCAAAGTTTACTATTCATTAATGGTTTTATAGAAAGACAGAAACACAAAACTAAATTGAAAAAATGTTGTGGCAGCCAAGCCCAGTTGCTTGAAAAATCAATAGGTATCTGAAACTGCCATTAATGACTTTACATATAGGAGCATCTTTAGATGGCGACCTAATGGCTGATGCATTATAAGTAATGTCCGGTGTGTGAGAGTGGAAGGTAGTTTCCTCTAGCCATTATAGAGATGTACCGGAAAATGGGTCTGACAGCAATGTACTGGATTTTATGAGTGCATTCTGGGAACTCATCAGCCAAGTAGAATCCAGGTTGGGCACTAATGCCCCACCAATGTCCTGTGGAACCAGGTTAATGATCTTTTGGGACTATAAGTATGTGTCTTGGGTAGGTGGATACAAAATTCATTTAAAGTAATAAAATTAAAAATAACATTTTATCAAAACTGATGGCATTAAGTTGTAGAACTAGCTCAAGTGCTAGAAATGTATGTCAGTAGTTTTGTGGCCGTTTAACAACTGGGTCATCTACATTAGGGTGGCAAAGAACTGATGAATAGTTGCCTGGCCGCAGATTAACTGCCCTGGATAACACCCTAAAGCCTGGAATAGAGTCAATCCTACTTTCAATGGAGGCTGATCTCCCTCTTTTGCTCTCCGCTAAAATTGCTTTTCCAACTGTAGATCAGGCTTAATCGAAGTGCAGGAAGGCAGCCCAAAGATTAGCGGTGGGATTGTTAAATACGTGACCTGCTCTTTTGGGGCTTTTCAGTCTTCTCTCATTCCTCGTTTGAGAAGCCTACAGATCCTCGGATGGTGTAGAAAAGCTGTTGCGATTACCCAGCCTTTTCCTTGTCATTTGACATACCTACAGTTTGATGTCATGTCAAGTCTTACCTTGACTCTTAGGGTCATCTGAGGAGCCGGCAACATCCTCACAGGAGGCATTATCTGTTGAGAAAGAGAGGAGGCTGATGCTACAGCTGCTTTTTGCATTATGATATGACAAATTTTCACCACCTTCACATGAATACTACTATTTACAGACATTTACAGGGGCAAAATATTTTTCCTACCCTCACACAAATAAAATTAGCACCCTGACCTTTGACCTGAAGCCGAAGCTTGGCTCTGCTGTGCCCTGCTGTGGGCAGGGTGAGGGCAGCACAGTCAATAGCATTGGTGGACAAGGCGAGCTCCTTCATACGCTGCCCGCTGCGCCTGCTGCTGCCCGTCATGCCGGCATCTCCAGCCTCAGCTCCGTCTAGATTCTCGATGCTGCACGCCCATTGAGCCCCAGGACCACCTGCCACTGCCATGGTCTGCAGCAGGTCATTCATGGCTGAGTGGACAGATGGAGGAATGAAAAGGGACATGAGGACAGGAACAATTTATGCAATTTATTACATCCTATCTCATCTCAAAGCATGACCCAGACTTTGTAGCCAAATGATTTTACAAATCCATATGTTTCAGATAAAAGAACTATTTTCTTTAATTTAATGTCAGACACATTTTGCATCCCTTTAGTAAGACATAGTGACTTGGGGATGCAAAATTGCTCAGATGTAAGCTACAATTTCTTCATTCCTGCAGAGTCCTACAAGTTGTTAAATGTTGTTTCAGACTGGTGGACTACCTCTGTGGTCAGAGGTTTCCAAACGTTTTCTTGTTCACAGCGCCTTAATGTATTAGCATCATTAAGGAAAAGGCTAAATTCTCATAGTAAGCATGACAATATAGCAGAGAATTGCCCTTTTTGGTGAGGTCTTGTTCAAAATTACTAATAGGTCTATCTCAAATTCATTTTGTACAATGCAACAAAATCGGCACATGCAGGCAGACAGTATTATTTAAAATGTCATTAAAGAGATTCAAACAACTGTTATCTTAAGTGCATAAAGATAGTAGGTGCACAGTTTGTCCTCCTTCATTCCTGCACCATCTCAGCCGGATAGGTCACCCATTAGAGGCCACTGTCTTTATGCACTTAGTTTACTGAACTGTACGCGATGGTAGAGAAGCATGAGGGCATGCAGAGCTGCTCCGAGCTGCAGCAACAGCAGCACTGTACACAAAAGATCAGAGCCAGAATCAGAGCGAGGCAAGTCCATGTCAGCAAAATAAGATCTGAAATGCAGCACGCTGACAGAGGAAGAGAGAGAGTGAGAGAGAGTGAGAGACAGAGAGAGTTAAGGCTCCATTTCAAGTCCTCCATGGTGAGTGTGAGCGGCGGTGATCAGGCAGTTGGTGATTTTATTTTTTATTTTTTTAAAGTCATGCTGTAATCAAAGATGGGAGCAAACACAGCACAGGCGCATGAAAGGCAAACCCGCAGTCTCTCTCGCTCTCTTGCCTGAACACACATACATACACACACAACACACATACATAGAGCCTTTCATTCAGTTTACACAAATAAAATTAAACCACAGAGCACATGACAAAGCTGCCCGATAAGTTGCCCGTTGCATAGTGATTCCCACAATCACTAAACTGAAATATGAGCTCTGATAGAGATGACACTCAGAACTAAGATAAATGAAAATCAAACTGCATGACACTACAAGAGACAGAGATACAGAGAAAGAGAAAAAAGTCCTACTGTCATCAGTTTTTGAATTAGTTCTAAATGTTTCTGTCATTCATTTTCATTTGTACACCTTTGCTTTCAGACAAAGTTAGTGAAGTTTGTGTTCTTCATTCATCAGTTAGTAGTGAGAATAAAGTGACACTACACTGGTGAACGCTGATAAAAGCTAAGAGTAGATACTCTACAGAGGGAGTGGAGAAGGCAGACGCAGGGCAGAGGAGGTGACGGAAGGAAGGGTTAGGGGTTACTAGGAACAAATTATAAGGAAAAGTCACTGATGTCACCAAACGCAGCATGGGGGTACGGTGACTATGCAACAAAATTTAAACTTTAATTTTTTGTAAATCTTTAGCAGACATCTCTAAAAGGAATCAGATGTCACTACTCTGATAAACTGTTAAATGTACAGTAATCCCAAATGAATGATTGTAGGTTTAAGGGCTATGATTGAAACCTGAAACTGCCATACTGTCACTGCCACACCCCCACACAGCAGCCACCCCGAGATCAGTGACTGTTCCTTCTTTGTTTCTCCTAGCGTGACGATGACAGGGAGAGCAGGCGGAGGAAGGCTAGCGGGGCGGCTATCGGAGGTCTTACACATGGAGCGCCGGTAGATGGCTTTGGCCTTGTCTTTGTCCTTGGATCTGTTCCTCATGAAAGGCAACCTTTTTATAGCTGTCAGAGCGCAGCCAGAGAGAGGGACAGACAGACAGGGGAGAGAGAGCGACAGAAAAATCCCGAGGGAGGTGGAGGAAAAGAAAACAAAAGAAAAAAGGAGGGCAGAACAGAAGGATGTGGTTAACGTTTTCACAAAGAGAGCCAGGGGAGAGATGCAGAGAGAGAGCTGAGCCCTTGGACACTCAACTGGACAATGACAATGTAATAGACACTACAACATATGATTTAGAGTGGTGAATCATGTTATTTCAAAGTCTATTTGATTTTGATAGAACTGCATTTCAGTCTATACAAATGTACTTCATCCACTTTTATACAATTCATTCTTGTTATTTAATGGAAATATATTAGCAAAGCTAGTACAAGTTAATGAAGCTGAAAACAATTTCTGTTTTAGATATTTTGTATTGTAAAGCTTATAGTGGGAGGATTATGCACATTTTCATGCTTTTTAAGCCTCCCAGACAGATTGTGTTCAGCCCATCAGTTTTTACTAGCTTTGTTAATTAATTATTACAATTAAGGTTTCTACATTTTAAATAAAATATGTGTTTAAGTGCTTTTTGAATGGGCTGAAATAGACTTCTTCCACAGACTTCTTTAAAACCTGAATAATTCTTTTAAGGGCAGACTTCTGTACAAAAACACATTATGCAAACAAGTACAACATAAACACATTATGCAAATACACACTCACACAATCGCACACATTCTATCAGCACACGACACCACACACAAACACTCTCATGTTAATGGTCATGAGTGTTGTATTTTACATTACCAACGGATTTTAAAGCGTTACATACATTACACAACAACACAAGTGTCAACACATTACCACACCTAGATGGGACATAGAAGACGACGAGTATTAAAGGGTGCAATCAGGAGAGTGAAAAGGTCAAAGGGCAGGTTAACAGCATCAGGGACGACTGCAATGATTCAGTACAAACATTTCCAAGAAGCAGAAAAAATAAGTAATTGCTAATGCCATCAAAGCATACTTGACTATGTACTGTCTTTGGTTCAGTTGTTGTAATGTACATTTTTCTACCTGATTGTTAAAGGCAACCTCGTAGGCAACTGGTTTCTAGATTTTACTCAGTAATTCATGCTCATATATTTTGCAGATACGAAAACATGCATCTTGAAGCAAATAGACCTACATGCTTATGTTAACGAGTAAACCTACATGCCCATGTACAGTTTAAATAAGTACAAGTGAATATGACCAACCTCGATTTAACACATTGCCTTGACTGGAAGTGAGCTGCAATTCATTGCACCTTTTAATAGCTATGATGCTACGTCAGAGGGCGTTTCTTTCTTATTTACAGGTGAACTGCACAGATCAGCAGGTTGACATGTCTGTAACTGAGAGCTAATGAGCCCTAGACCTGTTGGGGGATGGAGTTAAGAGTGAGCTGCACCTCGTTCAAAATATTCCTATACTACACTTCAGTAGCCCCATACATAAGGTGAATATTATATCAAGCGTTCCATTTGTTGTTTTAAACATAGGAAATGCATCTACTTTTTGAACGGGTCTGCGGTCGGGAGTCAACCTTGTGGTGCTGCACAGCTCAACCGTAACCTCTACGACAGCTGAGTGACACGGACAATGGACTCACGAAAACATGCCCTGAGAGACGCGACAGTCGGGTCACAAACCCCGCCCACCCTCCCCATCCGCAGCATACCATTGCTGGAACCCTGCCCATGGGCATGGGCATGGGACTGTTGCCCTCTCCTCCCTTCGCAGAGAGAGAGAGAGAGAGAGAGAGAGAGATAAAGGAGCAGTTAGGGGTGAAAAGGCCCATTCACACACTCAGGCACGCACAAACACACACACAAACACTCAGGCAGGCACGCACGCACGCACACACACACACGCGCGCGCACGCACGCACACACACACACCCTCCATATGTGCTGTGGGTTAATTCATAGTTGAAACTGTAACTATGCTGGTTTGGAGTCTTGGGTTTACATCTGTGTGTTCATGTGTTTCCTTTGTACTCACTGCTGCTCCTCTTTTGTGTGAGTGTGTCGTCCAGCGAGTTGGAGCCGGAGCCTATGGACGAGCTGTCCTGGCTGTCGTGGGGAAACGTCAGGAAAGCGTCACCATACTCTGAACGAGACGGAGTCAGCGTGAGAGAACGCATCCTATCCCGGCTCTTAGGCTTGATCAGCTTCTTCATCTTCAGAGTGATCCAGTTGCCACGCCTGCAGAGGAGAGACGAGACAGAGGGACGATCAGCAACAAGACGGATCAAGAAGAATATGAATGTTGGCTGATTCGTTCCATGTATGTACATTACATTGAGACTACATTACAGCCTCTCAGTCTTGCCATAGATGTTGCAGTATATGGCTGTTTAAAGCTCTGCAGGCCATAAATATTTGATTCATCCCTTCCTGAGGCTGCAGTGTGAGTGTTTCCTGCCACACCCCCTGCCTCAGAAATAAGAGTCAACAAGCAAACATAATGTTTTACATTTTTCTATGATATACTGATTCACTGAGTCACTAATTCACCACTGTTGCACCAGGTCATTTAGTTGGTTCATGGGCGTTTTCTTGTCAAAATTTTTCAACTAATGTAACTTGATGAAGTTGCTTTTTACCTGCGTGGAGGTGAGGGGTCATAGAACTTGTACTGGTCCATGATCTTCTCCTCCAGCTTCTCCTTCTGTCTTCTCAGCTCATTTAGCTTGTCTCTGAAAGAGTAGAGACACGAGAGAAGATACAGTGAGACAATCCAAATATAAATGCAACCAATCTGTTTTGAATATCCCATTAAAAGCACATTGAAGTAATATCAACAGACAACATGTTAGCTGTCCATTTTTAACAAAACATATAATCAAAGGGTTTACATGTATTGTCTTTGCTCTACGTGGAACAGGTCTTTGCTCTCCATGGTCTGCTCCAGCAGTGTGCGATTCTGTAACATCAGAGTTTGGATCTGGTCCAACAGGTGACGATTCTCCTCCTCCAGGTTTCCTTTCAGCTGGCTCAACAACTAACACACACACACACACAGATAGATATATGAAAGAGATGCTATGACACCTGGCTCAAACAAAAACATGATACATTAAAGGGATAAAGCTTCCACAACACAGCTGGCTTAAGAAGTTGTTTATAAAAAATATCAGACATTAAAAAAAGAGGTAAAGAGAAGAGAAGAGAAGAGAAGAGAAGAGAAGAGAAGAGAAGAGAAGAGAAGAGAAGAGAAGAGAAATCTCTCCTCACTTCACACTGGTTGGTGAGCTTGGTGGAGGTGATGTCCAGCTGCTGGTACTGCTCCTTCAGTTTAGAGAACTCGGCCTCCAGCTTGGTCTGATCCAGCTTGGCGCTGTTTAACTGGCTCTTCATGTTCTTATGGTCCAGCTGGAGATTCTCGTTGTCCTTCACCAGCTGTCGATAGGTAGTATTAAGTCTGAGGAGAGAGCAAAGGGACTCCTCAATATATAGACATGTCTGTATGTTAAAGTGGCTTAAACATAACAACAAATAGTTTAAAAGGTTGAATCACAATGTTAACATGTCATTAACACATTTGCATAGTTTTTAAAGATAAAAATATTGATTGAGGTTAATCTGACCTATCATTTTCCTCTTTGAGCAGTTTGCACTGGTCAGCTGTAGCTTGGTGTGTTTGGTTCTCCAGTGCCATCTTTTCCTGCTGGTCTTTCAGATTTTTCTCCAGGTCCTCCAGCTCCCCCTTCCTCTGCAGGAGTTGCTTGTACCTGCACACATAAAAACACACATACACGTTACAAACTGTTCCACGAATTACATAGAAAACACAACACAATGCAGGTATATTTTACTTTATACCCAAGGGGTCTTTCGGCATGCTTGCTTTTATCATTGTTTAATATTGCTGTGTAGGATAATGTAAAAAAAGAAGGCCAAAGAAGTGTATAGTATAAAGGCATCAGTGAGACTTGAGCTGTAATTAGATTTGAGCATGTGCCCATCCCATGCTTGTGAACCCCAACTCACTTGTCTTCCAAGTCCCTGTGCTGCTGCTCCAGGCTCTTGTGGGAGCTCTTCAGGCCCCCGTGCTTTCCGATCAGAGCTTCATACTCGGCTGCCTGTCTTTCATGGAGCGCCGCAAGCTTCTCGTGGTCGCGGAGGAGCAGCTCGTAGGTGGCCCTCAGCTCCTCTTTCTCCTTCAGCGCTCCCTCGCGCTCGCCCTCCACGCTGCTCTGCTGACTCTGCAGCTGGGCATTCTGGGCCATGAGGGCTGCACTCTGCGAGCTCAGGGTAGAGTTCTCCACCTGAAGGAGAGGACGGAGGAGATGAATTAATTAAAAAGGTGTGAAAGAGATGTGGAAGAGCAGGAAAAGAAGAAAGTGATGTTTAAGGAAGGGAATGGATTGTGAAAACAATGAATGAAACACAAAGATGAATAAAAAAAAAAGGACAAGAAGTGACAGAGGAGAAAGAAAAAAAGGAAAGGATTACAACAAGGAGTATTAAATTTATTATTTATTATTTTTACTATGATCTGTGGAGAGTACTTGGCTCCTCAAATCAAACATCAGAGGAAAGGAAGGTATAATAAGTAGAAGTTATTGCTGTTTTAGTCTATAGGGGGCACTATGTCTCTATTCAGTTTGTAATCTCCATCTACAAAACACCAGCAGGGAAACAGTTTCTTTTCATGTTTCCTTTGTGGTCACTGTGGTTTCCTCGTCTCAAATCCCTCTTCAATCGGGTCTACTGTGTGTATTCTCTGACACACACACACACACAGACACACACACACATATAGATGCACACACACACATACACACGCAGAGTCCAGGTGCTGACACACTTTCTGTACCTTTTAACTGAAACACCTTCTAAGCACAGACGCACACACACACACCTGCCTCACATATGCTCTCACGCACACACTTTACACATCAAGACACATACACAAACACTCACACAGACAGCTAGAAGCTACTGTATGGTCAGTGTAAATCCTGTCGCCCATAAGCAGGGTTTGAATTGCTGCCAAACAGGGAGTACAAGTCTAAATCCATTCCAGGGAGCTAAGCAGCCTGGCAAGGCGACTGTACAAATAGAGCAATATATAGAGAGAAGGCTAGATAGGGTTTGATTTTCGAAAAGTGCGTTTCTTTATGTATAATTGTATAATATAAAGCATATACAATACACTGTGTATTATATAGACTGTGTAGGGGATTACCTGCAGCTTGGCGTTCTGTGTCTGTAGTGTTGTGTTGTTCTCCTGTAGGGAGGCAGTCTGTCTCTGCACTGCCACTATCTGAGCCTGAAGGTTGGAGCTTTGAGTTTCCAGTTGTTTGAGCTGGCTCCTCAGGGCTGCCTTCTCAGCCTGCAGTGTGGCATTCTGGGAAAAATATGTGCATATATGATATCATGATTGATGTTTGTGTGTGTGGGTTGTTTCTTAACAAAAAGCCACATAAACCATCATGCACTCCTGACATCATGTTAACTTACATTTCTCTCCACTTCAATGAGTCTGTCTTTGACTTTCAGCAGTTCCCTGGTGGCTTCATGGCTCTCTTTCTCCCATTTACTGACAGACTGAGGGTCCTCCCCCCCTCTAGGGGGCGAGCTCTGCACCATCCTCTCCTCCTCCTCCCTTTGACGCAGTGCTTCATAGTTTTTCTTCACCTGGGGAGAGACAGAATAATAAAATGACAATGAAATTAACTTTGTGTGTAAATTTCAGCCTCGTCATTACAAAAATATCATGTAAATTCAAGATGGCTGAGAGTGAGATAGTGCTTTTTGACTGAGTATGAGTATGGCATGAGTAATGGTGAGGTAGGAACAGACAGGATCTATTACAGTTTCACAGGTGAAAGTTCATCCACCTCACACCTCAACTTTTCCATCCAACCTTTAAGCTTTGGATCGAAGTTGTCAGCAAGTTCAAAACACAAACGCCTCCTAAAGGAAAGCAGAAATCCTTCACTCCACCCGGCTCTTTCACTGCCGCCTCATGAATAGATAAACGGCGATAGAAGGGGAAGAGTGGATGGATGAATAATGTATTGGCCTGAAGAAGCTCTGAGTGTTTTCAGTGTTTCTAGTGTAGACTGGAGATTAATGTTTTGGTTTTGTGGGTGTTTCTAGGATGTGTTTTTATACTGGGTCTTCTCTATTGTGGCAGTGCTAAGCATCTGTATGCAATACAGCCAAAACACTATATTGTTGATTGCTTATTAGTATGGATTTCTATATGTGTTTCTTACTGTCTTGAGTTCCTGGCGAAGTTGCTGGTTGAGATTCGAGGACTCCTGCAGTCTGGCCTCTAGGGCGGCAATCTTCTCCTCTTTAATCTCCAGAGATGATTTCAGAGTCGACTCCAGTTTGGTTTCCAGGAGCTTAAACCTGAAAATAAAGGTTCAGTTAGCTCGGTGTGTGTGTGTATTTGAGTCCAGTCCTGTCTGTGAGAGTGTGATCACACAATTTGAATCCTAAATACAGGTAAAGTATCATCATAGGCCACCGTATAGCAAAGCCAACTGACATCTTGTCAAGAGTGTAGCAGGTGGGGCAGATACTGGCTGAGAAATCTCCCACAGGATGATTTTGCAATAGACTGAGATTAATTAAAACTATAGCATCTAATCTAAAATATAGTGGCTTGTGTGTGTGTTTGTGAGCTGATACCTGTCATCTGAGCTCTCGTCATGGAGCAGCCTTTCCTTGTTGAGTCCAATCTTCTCCAACTCATGGGTCAGTTTCTCCAGATCATTATTCATCTGCTGAGTCCGCAGCTTCTCACTCACGAGCTCCTAAACACAAATACACACTCTGAGTAACTCTGAATATCACTGACACCAGCAATTTATGTATCTTAGTCTTCAGTGGTCAGGATTATCACGAAAATATAAATTGATTACCATCAATGTTCTGTATTTTTTTTCAATGGTTTCACTTTCAACAGTCATTTTAAAAGGCAGTTAATTTCAAAACATTCATACAACAGAATTTAACACAGGAACATAATAAAAGGCAGCAATAAAAAAGTTCCTTTAAATAATTTTTCTATAAATCAGTTTGATGCTTCCAACACCAACAAAGGATCATGAATATGGTGCTAAACCTCAGGACATGATCTGATAATATTTGCAGATGTCTGACACTGTATGGGCTCTGCTTACCTCTCTGAGTGTGATGAGCGTCTTCTTATCGATGGTGGCCTGTTTGACCAGCTCCTTGTTCTCTCGCTCCAGGTCTTTGACTCTCGTGCAGGAGTCCCTGAAGAAGATCATCTCCTTGCCCATGGTTCGATTCTCTTTCTCCAAGGTGGAGATCCGCTGGTTGCTGTCATCCAGCTTGGAGTCGCGGATCTCGGCCTGCTGCCTCAGCCGCTTGTTTTCCTTCTCCAGAAGCTTCTTGTCTTTCTCCAGCTGGGAGCTTTCCTGCTCCAGACTCTTGTTCTGGGGAATAACAGAACGTAACAGAGAGCAGATGGATTAAACATCATTTGATGGAATAACTTTTAGACTAAATGCCTTGTAAATACATGTTTGGCTAAAAGTGGACACAGATTAACACACAAGGGCCAAAAATCAATTTTGACAAATAATCTGGGATAATCCAAGTCTGATGAGAGACATGTTGTAATTTTATCAGAATAGACTACAAGAGTGGCAGTGCTGCTCAAGTGCCAAATAACAAATAAATTTTCACTTATTTTTTTGTACTGAATTCTTTAGACTGCTATTTCACAAACACTACCTTCAGTCTGCCTCAACTGCAGTTTTTGGGTCAATCTGACTGGCCCCATTCTGCCAGGCAGAATCACTCCATCCCACAAAAAAGTCATTGAAGCTGTGTCAGTAAAACACCTGCAGCTATTCCATTGGACATTGTACCAGTTCTGCTACAGACTGCAGTCCAAAAATTTAAATTTCTTTACACTGATGCAAAGTATTTTTGAAGCTGCCATTTCCTACATTTCAGCACATATGATTATTGCTACTGAATGAATGCATGTGAAACAGTTTTTTTTTTTGTTCTTACCTCCTGCTCCAGCTGCTCCAGGCGTTTACTGGAAATCTTGAGCTCCTCAAGGTTGCGTTGGAGGGTTTGATTCTCAGTCTCCACCTCCTGCAGCTCTGCCTCCAACTGCTGGATCTTCTTGCTGCTGTTCTCTAAAGCCTTCTGCAGGCGCTGGTTCTCTGTATCTAGGCCCTGGTAACTCACCTGGGAGAGGAATAGCCAGATTAGGATATTAAAAGCATCCATGAACTAGTTGTGCTGCTCCCTGATGCCACTGTATGCCAGACCCCCTGTAACTTACCTGTAAAAGTATTAGTATGGTTATGATAACTTAATGCAATACGTAAGGTGCCTTTAACGCTACAGCTATTCTGCACAGTTAAGGACCAGGTAACTCATACATAACCACCACTGGTGTAGATTAAATATAACTAGCAGTAGCTTGCTTTTGATTTCTCTAAGAAAGCTTCTTGCCCATCACGGTTGCATGTGTCTCATTGCTGTCCAGTCACTTAAGCACTCATCGTATGACTCACAGTCCTGAAGTTTTACCTCTAATCTTTCCGTCTTCTTGGACGAGGCTTTGAGCAGTTCCAGGCTGCGCTTCATCTGGCTCCTCTCACTCTCCAGCTCCCTGTTCTCAGCTTCCAGCTGAGCAGCCTTCGCCCCGGCCGACCGGAGGCTCTCAGCTGAGCGCCGAATCTCCAGGTTCTCCTGCTCCAGCTGGGAGTTCTCCTTTTCCAGAGCCTCCAGCTGGAAGGCCATGTTCTTTAGAGCATCCAGCTTCTTCTTCAGACGACGGCCCTCTGCCTCCAGCTCTGTGTTCTCCTTCTCCAAAGAAGACACCTACACACACAATAAGTGATGGTGGTGGTAATGGCAGCCTAAGACTCTATACTCTTCAATGCTGCTGTCACAGCCTCAAATGCATTATTAGATAATGCTTTAATGTTTTATATAAACTCATTACAAATTGCAGACATATCAAGTTCCAAATTTTAACTAATTTCAGTAAAAATGTTCACAAATAGTGAATGAGACAGAAAGGGGAAAGATCACATTAACTTAATAGACTCCTTTCTCTGATGCAGAAAATGAATCATTGATTTGGGGGAGATCACGGCCTACCATGCATCAAAAAACTGAAATGCATAAGTTTTAACAATGGATAGTCAACTATGGGTGGATAGTCAGATCTTTCTCCCCGAGGTTGACACAGATAATACCACACTTAAAGTGAAAGTACGAGCTACTGTGGCTGCTACTTATTGCATACTTCTGGGATGCACAAGAACCAAAAACAAACACACACATTTCTCATGTTAAAATGATTCAATATTACTGCTAAATTTATTTAAATGATGTGGAGAATAACTAATATTTCATATCTTATCTGATAACATGAAACAAATGGTATTGAAGTTGAATAATGTGGGGAAATACTGACAGACATATAGAATACAGGCAAACTGACATCTCAAAAATACAAACCAGGCAGACAACAAAATGCACCGCACCTTTTCACAGGTGATTCCAAGACTGGCAACTTTCTTCTGCAAGCTCTCATTGTCTCTCTCCAGCTTCTGCATATGAATCTCCAGCTCCTCTGCTCTCTCACCTTTCTCCTTCATCACTTCGAGTTCCTTACCTGCATTCAAAAGACACACATTGTTAGACAACCAATATGTTGATGCTGTGAGTTCAAAATGAACTAAAGGAAGCCAGAAACTAAAGGTAGCTGTGATTCATTGTGATCAAAAAGTACAGGTGGAGAAAAAAAAAAACACACCCACATTTAATGCAATGAATCCCAAAAACTCTTAAAAAACATGCCACTCACGTAGTTGTTTCCTTTCAAACTCCATCTTATTGAGTTTGGCAGTTGTCTCGCAGATGGACTCATGGAGAACACGATTCTCTTTCTCCACATCCTTGACCCGGGCCTCAGCACCAACCTGGCAGCGCTGACGCAGAGACGACACCGTCTGGCCCAGGTGCTTGTTCTCCTGCTCCAGACCCTTCAGCTGGAGAGCAGACAGAGTTATAATGACGTCATGTTTAATATGATGATTTGGACATACAAACTTTAGATTTAGTTTTACTCAGGCAGGTCTCTCCCACCTGTTGTTTGTGGAACATTGGGGCTGATAAAAAATGTTTATTGTTCAGAAGTTTCACAATCCTGTGCTTTCTCACTTTTTATGTAAGGAGCTGAAGTTCCTGCTTCAAATTTTCATTTAGTTTCTCAAATAAACTCATAAGAATTCAAATGGCATCAAGAAGGACCGTTAATGACATGTAGAAACACAAAAGATACAAAAGCTTATAAAGACTACAGAAAACTGCAGTTCATTTGAATGTTATGCTCATTATGTTTACAACCAACTGGAAAGAATTGCCCACAGTAATCTGTGAATACAGTGTGTTTTCTCTGCCTCTGTGCCTCATCAAGGCTGGATCTTACAAATCAGATGGTTAAACTAATCATAGCTGTCAGATTTGGGTCTAACAGCTATAAGATCCCTGCAGACACACAGCGAGCGACTGCATCTGGGCCAGAGTGCCAGAAATCTGTGCAGTCAATAAAACATAGTGGTAGTTTCACTTAATAGGTTTGTGAGCCAAATGTGAATCAATTGCACAAAGATTGCTCTCAAGAAAACTCAGCATAGACTTTGGTAAATTACATGGCTTACTCATGTTATTTTCTTGGAGCTTCCTGGAATTAGAATCAATGATGGTTTTGTGGAGAGAGCAGCGTGTATGACGCACAGTCTCAAAGCTCTGTTTGTCTGAATGTGTTGGTTTGCCTGGCCATATGCTTGTGCAGTATACAGACTGCAATGTTAACTATATTGTAAAGCACATGAATGCTTGATGTAATTAAGCTGCATCATATTAGATTAACTGCTCTAACTTGTTCTGCCATCTCAAACATAATGGGCCTAATAAGTCAGCCATGTATCGTTCAGCTATAATGTGGCATTCAGGAAAAATAGCACAAACGCAATTATCACTGACAGGATTTGTGTGTGTGTGTGTGTGTGTGTGTGTGTGTGTGTGTGTGTGTGTGTGTGTGTGTGTGTGTGTGTGTGTGTGTGTGTGTGCTTGTGTACCTGTCTCTCAGAGTTTTCTCTAAGTGTTTCGAGAGTCTTCTCCAGTAAAGCCTTCTCCTTCATCAGGTCAGTGCTGAGCGACTCGGCGCTGCGGAGCGACTCTCTGTCTGCTGTCAGCTCACTCTGCAGCAGCTCCAACTGGACACAAAGAAAGTAGCATCTTAAAATATCCCATGATTTTGATTGGGTTTTAATGATTAGTGTTCGTGGGGATAACTGATGGTGGCTCAGAAATTACTGTCAGCTATTTTCTTGTCAGTTACACAGATATCATAAAGCACTCACTGTAGATGGTTTTCCTGCGTAACATCCTATGTTGGGATAGTTATTGTGGCCAAGGAATAATACCATGAGTTATTCTGTGTTTCGCAATCACAAAGAAGCTGGTGCAATTATTAATCCATCCATCCAAACATAATATATCATCTCATTCTGTCACACCTCTGCAGACAAACACACTCAAGTTTAAGTATACACACACAGAGATATATATATTAAATGACATTATTTCTATCGGTAAAGAGTCTACCAGTAGCTGTATTCACATTTTAATGTTTTTTGGCTCTAGACCTCAGGACACTCACTTTGGATTTTCTCTTTGTGGGAGAAAAACACTATTTCATGCTTTTTTATTCAGGGGGCACAGAGAGAGGCTTATGTTTCTGAAAATAGCTGAGAGACTTCTCTTAGTGAGGGGCGTTTGAGTGTCAAAGACTGGAAAAGAAAAAGCAAGGGGCTGCCTGGATTTACAGCTTTGCTTTCATCCTCCTATCCACCCTTCTCTATACGCTCTCCTTTCCCTTTTTTATATCTCAATGCCACTGTGTGAAAAGGTCTAAAGCCAAGTGTTAGCGTGATATATTATGGAGGAGTGCTGGTCCAATATGCTAATCTTGGTGTTGACCCTGATAAGGGGCAGAAAAGGAAACTGTGTCCTTAGAGAGAGACAGTGCGCTCAAAGTATCTGTAGTATAACTGATACATCGCTCATGCTCACTTTATTTTAAACTGTCAGAAATGTGGGTTTTGGCTTTTGGGTTACTAAGTTGTGCAGGCATGTTCAAGCCTACAGATGAAAACTGTCCAACATACGCATCAACACAAATTTTACATCAATAATATTATCCTATTATTCAGTTATCAGCTTGCAATGTGATTCTCCTGATTCAGAACTTATTTGACAGGCAATCTGATGTCTTAACACACCCCATTTTCCTTGAAAAAGCTATGAAACTAAAAGATGACTAATTAAATCAAATTTTTTTCATTATTATATGGACATGTGGTAAGGTGAGCATTTTTGCCAAAACCTTTGAAATAACAAAATTAGTAGTATATAAAGTTGTCAAATTATGACATTTGTATCATCTGCAATGAGTAAGAAGCATTGATGTAAATTACAAAGAGCACTGGACCAAGAATGGAGCCATGAGGTACCCCTCAGAGGATGGTATTGGAGATAAGCTTTTGCACTGTGCCATTCTGATGTCCATGATGTAAATATTCAAACCATTTTGAAGATTTCAGCGTTAATTTTGTCAAAAGCGCTGAAGAGATGAGGAAATGTTAGAAGAGTATATTTATTTGTGTAATTAGCCATTGAGTCATTCAATGTGAGTCATACATATTTTTCTACGAAGAAAAAACAGGAAATTACTTAGAACTGTCAATTAGCCCTCACTTCTTACCCAACCAAAGACAAATACTTAAATAATAAGTTAATTACTTACTTTCTGGTTCAGTCTCTGGTTTTCGTGGTTGACTTTAGACAGTTTCCCGAAGGTGTCCTGACTGGCTGCTCCTCTTAGCTCCTCCACAGTCTTCAGCAAGGTCTGGTTGTCTTTCTCCAACTTCAACAGGCGGCTCGAGGTCAGCTCATTCACCTCCTCACCCAGAGACTTCTGAGGGGCTGGGTCAATGACAGCAAGAAAACATGCTTAGCACATCAGTTTTAAATCACTATAAAAAAAATTACAGTAAAGATTACAATAAATCCATCAAAAATTAAATTAATACAAAGCCCTACGTTCCAACTTTACAGGTCTTAAAGCTTTTAAAGTGCCATTTTAACAAACAACCCCACCCGCCCATACAAAGTCTTTATCCAGATCCCTGGCTAGTTAAACCTCTTAACAGCTTTTTTAATCCAAACGCACAGATTATCCTCCAGGAGCCACTGAATATTAATTACAGGTCTTAACCAAGTGGAAAGAAAACCCCAGTGGAGGCTGGCAAATGTACAAGGGCCTTGTGGGTGACGCCAGGGCCAAGAGCCAATGACCAAAGCCTGGTCTGTTGGCTTTCTGAATCTTTCAGCCTGAACCTGGTAACTCAGGTAATTACATGGTATTTTAACTCAACACCCAATTCCTCTTTGTGTGCTTTTTTAAAGAACTTATTCTAGATGTCAGTTAACACACGGACACATTCTCCGGTTTTCTGGGATTAAAAAGATCCTTGGCTCCAACTACAGCTCACCTTCAGTCAGCTCCGGTGTCTTGGATAGTTGCTCCAACTCCCAGCCCAGGTGCAGAGACTCATCCATGCTCTGTTTCTGGGCCATCTCAAGCACGAGGTTCTCTTCCAACAGCTCCTCCATACGCTTACGGTCCATGTCCCGCTCCTGGAGATAACAGAGATTGGAGGGTGTGTTGAGATAAATAAATGCTTTTTTTACCTCTACCACTGATCCTGAGTTTTGATTCGAACCTCAGGCTCTCTAGCTCAAACTCTCATCACTCTTTTTACACTCCAATCTGCATCCATCAACTGAATTGTCACTGGAGAAATTATCCAAAAAAATCTACACTGACACTGGAACACTGATCCATAAATCCGTCATCTCACCATCTCCAGGTCGTGGATCTTGGATTTGAGCTGCAAATTCTCTTTTTCTAGGAGGTGCAGTTTGTCAGACCGGGTCCTGCTAGCATCCAGCTGCTCCTCCAGCATAGTCTTAGTCTCCAGCAGGATCTGGTTGTCCTCCTTCAGCTCCTACAGAAATCACCACATCGGCAGAAATGTTAAACAAAATATAACCACTGCAGCTAGCACAAAAATTATTGGCAATGTCCTTTTCTTTTTATTAATTCTTATATTAACAGCATTGCATTACCAATTAGATTGTAGAAACATTTTTTTACTTCCCTTGTCTGTCTCCTAAAACAGAAGCTCAAATCTGACTTACTATATTGTACAGAATGGGTCCAAACAGTGTGCCTGTTTTACATGCATCACTACAACCTGAACAAACCTTTTTACCTCTAATGTATGTTTTTCTACGTATGCATGTTTGTTTAAAGGCACAAAAAATAAAGGGTTGTCTAGGATAATGTGTAATTGCATATTGGTCACATGTTGCAGTTCACAACATGTCCAGCTTAAAATAATATTATTAAGAGCTGTTTATGTTTCAATAGCTAGTTCTTTTGATGTCAGCTACATGATGCTCAAGTATCCCAGGCATGTGCTTTTACAAACACCATCTTCTTGACTTGACCTAACGCACTGTGTGTGCAGTTGTGTACCTCGACTCTGGCCTTGTAAAACTCAATGTCGTGGAGTCTCTCCTTGTATCGGCTCAGCTCGCTCTCCAGTTTGTCGACACGGATCGCTTTCTCTCTGAGTGCGTCCAGCTCGTCACGGTAGGCCCGAGCCGACCGGGCGTCCGACAGCAGCTGGTAGCTCTGCAGGAGTTGACAGCCAAATATAGAACATCAATGTGTGGATATATGTTTAAGTATTTGCAAATGTTTGCAATAAAAAAATACAGAAGAGAATATCTCTAAATAATGAATTGCATGAACAAGGATGTAAACAGATTATACATCTGTTTATCATGTACCAAAAATACTAATTTTTTTTTTTTTTTTACAAGGCACTGTTATTCAATTCTGTGATCTTGTACAACTAGTAAATTATCAATGACCAACTCACAGTTTAAGTCTCGTTACACAAAAACATACAGAACAGAACAAACTCTATACACACGCACGCACGCACACTGAACTCATCCACCTTGCTTAGACCATCCAGTCTGTTCGCCCAGCAGTCAGCCTGCCGCCCACTCCAAATCAAAAGCCATGTGAGCTTGTTGCTCGACTAAAGATAGCTCTAATAGCCCCTAATGAGCTAAGTCACTAGCTAGCTGATTAAAGCCTGGCAGCATTGCAGAAACAAAGTACTTAGACAGAGGAGGGAGGAGCAGGTGAAGGGAAGAGGGAGTCAGATGAACATTTGTGTGCTCTGTGTGTGTGTGTGTGTGTGTAGGTGTGTGAGGGATGCTGTGACTTGTGGCATTACCTCTTGCTGAAGCCTCTTGAGCTCCACCTCCATGTTCTCAAGCTCCTGTCTGGTGTCCAAAAGCTGCTCACTCTTCTCCTCTCTGAAAAAAAGAAAGGGGAGGGTTAGTTAAACAAGGGCAAAATGGAAAAGGTCAGAGGATGTGACCTAGAAAGAGGACGAAGAGAGAAAGTGCCAGGAGGAAGAGAAAGGCAGTTTTTTTTCAGTAGCAGAAAGCAAGAAAATTATGTTTTTGTGTTTCTGACAGAACGATTAACATATAACCACACACAAAAAATCATGTGACAAGTTCTTTTAAGTGTGTGTTTGTGCCTTTATCAAATCAGACTATTAACAAGGACGTTCCTTTAGGGCTATTTCCATTTCAAGGTTTGCAGCCAAATCATTTAATGGTGACAATTCATTGACACAGTTGCAGAGAATAGTTGCATTTGATAAACTTTACACTACCAGCTTCACTATCTTCATTTTACTTCCAGTATTTAGTAGAAGCAGTTTCAGTAGCTTGGCAGTTTTTATATTGTTTGGTTTGTTTTAGTAAATTATTGCTATTAATCATGCAAGAGGTAGAATTAATGTTAACTCTGAGTTTTAGCATCAGTTTCAACAGGATTACATAGTCACCCTGAAGAGTGAACTGAAGACTCAACTAAAAAGATTTAAAACCAATCCTACTTTAAGTAAGTAAGTATTGGGAGGTCATAGATTCTGTATTCAAATTATCACTTTCAGCTAATATTTTCGTTACAATTTTGATGAGTTAGTTGGTATTATCACTTCTTAATTTAAAAACTACTGTTAGCATGGACACATAACATAGGCAACAGCCCATTAAGTATAATAGGCCTTTGTTGGTAAGTTATAGAAATCAGCATCTCACATGCTGATTTCAAGACATCTGTAAACCCACAAACCCGGTTTGTTAAGTAAAAACAGCCTATTGTGTCTGCTGTGTTCGAGCTGTGGTGGTTGGGACACAATATCTGTCCTGTGTCTTTTGAATGGGGTTACTAATAAACAACCTCCTTCTGCTGGACATCACACTCACTGACACAACACACGTACTGACAAAGGAGGCGGTTAAAAACAACTGAAGAATATATAGTACCGTGTGACTACTTCAGGAGTAAACATATGCAAATCTGCCCCCGAGGCTCAAACCCATCATCTTCCTTACTTCAAAAGAAATTACCACAACAGATAAGATTAGGGGTGGAGAGAAGAAAGTTAAGAGTTTCTGGATGTGGTACAAAACTCAGAATTCAATTTCTCATTCCTATACCCTCAATAGCAGGGTCTTGCTATCTGCTATCAAACACTCTCCTGTATCATTTGTTAAAGTGGCAGTGAAACAGGGCAGCCTGACATTTGCTGTCTGTGTCAATTTGTGTATATGTGCAGATTCTCCACTCTCCTACCATAGAAGGAGAATGTGTCACAGTGCTTTGAAGGAAAACAACCGCATTCCTCAGATGGTGTGTGTGTGTGTGTGTGTGTGTGTGTGTGTGTGTGTGTGTGTGTGTGTGTGTGTGTGTGTGTGTGTGTGTGAAACACTGCTCCACTGAACATCTGATGGCCCATTTGATTACAGCTCTCTGGAGTCACAGGGTGCATCTCAATAAGGAAAAGGCATCCTCCTTTTTTTGTCCTCTCATTTATCTCCTCCTTCCTCCCACAGCTAACATTATTTGGGAAGCTGACGTCAATATTCAGGCAGGATGTTCCTGCACCCATTTCTGTTTTTGTTTCATCAGTTAACCCCCTCCACCTCTCGCTGCCTCTCCCCGTCCCCCACAACCCTCCCTTCCCCAAATCACAAACACCTGTCAAGTCTTGCATGGCAGATTAGCTTTGGGCTCATATTATGGATGCAGCTGGCTCTGGTGCTTATGTTAATGGTTTAACACTCGTTGCATCTGCGCAAGCACACACACAAACACTTGCATGCACTGATATATTTAAAAAGCCAAGGAATAAAGACAATCTTTATTCTTAGTCTGAAAAACGTCTAACTGCTCTCCCTCTTACCCTAACCTTGAATTCTATCTGTAACCCTAAATATTGGCCCTGTCTCAAACAGAGATAGCCGTGTTTCTGAGAACTAACAAAAAGCACTTTTTAATACCTCAGCTGATGCAGCATTCAAATATGAAGCTGTATCAACATCACCTCAGCAGGAATCACTGTAGTATCACCTGTGGTTAAACTTTGACTACCAAATACACAACATGCACACTCACAGGTACTGTACATGTATACACAGCTTGTTGATAAACATCACCAAACATGACAAATGAAGAAAATCAACCGAACTGACTTTTAATGTTCAATTCTATAATAACAAATAATGACAAATGAATGAGTCGTGCTTGTTGAACGAAGGTTACAAGGCAGCAGACTACTTTGTACAACTACTGTCAGTCAAGAACAAAATGTGCACATTAAAAATTTGGTTGTCTCGCACTCCAGCATAACAGAACATCCCTGTCTTTCATCTCACTGAGTTAGTTAGAGTTTGTAGTAGTTAATGATCCACTGTACTGACATTCACATTGTCCTGGCTGGTTGACCTGCAACTCAGAAAGACTTTTGGTGAGTAACAGCAAATGGGTCATGATTTCCCATTGCTACAGATTCTGTTTCAATCAATTTACTCTAAAGGATATAATGCTTAAAAATATGTTCTCATCAACTAGTTGCGTTAGTGTTTTGTAACAAATTGTCATATTTCAGATCCAAAGAATGCAACTAAAAAAATCTATTTTCTATCTAGATGTCTCTGTCTGATTGCCTTGAAAAAGAACAGGTACAATGCATGTACATTTAAAACTAATAAGGGACTTTTAGAGGTAGATAAATGGAAATAGTGCAAAATAAATGTTTGGTCTCGGAAACAGGTAAAGACTAACTGTGGAATAACAGCCCTAAATATTACTCTAAAAGTGTTTTCATAGGTATAAACTCAGAGTGTGTTTGAGCTGGAACAGGAGAAGGAAAAGCAGCCAAGCCGCAGTAGCTTTAACAGACACATTAACAAACAGACCACTGTGGGAACACTAAGTTATACCCCCCGGCTCTGACCCGCTCTCCTTCAGACACACACACACACACACACACACACACACACACACACACACACACACACACACACACACACACACACACACACACACACACAAGACCACACAGTAGACACTCATGTCTACATTTTTATGAAGAGCAAATATCTGTGCATGTGCAGGCACCCACACACAACAAATACACTCCTCTTCTGCCCCAGAAAAGAAATCGCAATCATGTGACCAGACTACATTAGCATGAACCGACTTTTTGTCCCTCGTTCGGCCCATCACACGAGAAAAAACGTCTGTCACGGACGCCACAGCAACAAGTAAACAATACCATAGCAACCACGAAACAAAATAATTCACTGGCCTGTTGGCTGCCGCTCTGTAGCACTATTTAGGTCTACTGAAGAAATCGTCATAATGTAGGTCAAAGAAGTATAAGGGACATGTCTAGAGTGATGAATGTCAGACCTTTTCAGCTTGAAAATTCCCATGAATGGGTTTAGGTTCACTTAGGGAGAGATGCTTTTCAGTCTTTTCATGTGCCCAAGCAGAGGATGACCTGCACTCCATTCTGAGTAACAACCACTTGTTAAAAAACCATAATTTAGCCTTTCAGTTAGCCCTGAGCAGACCATTGTCTATTTGACAAAAGAGACAGAACAAAATCTTTTGCAAATTACAAGGACTAAATGATAGACCCAAATATATGACCTAAAGCCTTTTCCAAATCATTAAGGTCCGCTGCTAAAATTGGCATAAAAATGACTCATTTTAAATCAACTATTACAATGAGTTATTCTTACATCATTTCTCCACTTAAGTACACGGTGGGGGACAACAGCAGGCTCTGTATGAGCAAGCCTGCTCAATTACAGTAGAAATATTCTATTACCTAAAATATTTATCTTTCTTAATTTCTCAATATTTATATGTTATAAGTATATGACGAATCTGGTCTCCAAAAAGCTAAGAAAAACAACCATCTAATGCAATGAGAGACAAGTCAGCCATAACCAGTGAAAACCCTCTTAAAATCATCAGTGTAATACAAGGTACAAAGTTTAAGACAAAAACAATGTTTGAATTTTTTTTTTGGATAAATATTGTCTAAAAATAGTAAAAATGTGTTCCTAGTGCTCAAAATAGGGCTCATGAAGTACAAGTAATGACCTTGATGACCTTGAATTACTTTATCTTTAAGAACTAGCCAATAATAATTAGGGTTTGCAGTTCAGATCAAACATGCAACAGTAGGAGAAGCTGCAACGGCAACAAAATAGGAACTTTAGTAGCAAACAAGATCAGGAGTGATAGCTGCCGTCTTATTTCAGGAAATTACCTCTTTGGATGTAGTTCTTGAACTTGGTAGCTACCGAGATTGAATCAGGCTTGTTTACATTTCCTGTTTCATCTCCATTTATATCCCCTTTGCCCAATTTAAGTAATTACTTATCTAGCTGATAAAGCTGTGGCACTCACAGTTCCTGTCGCAGGCGCCGGATCCTGGCCTTGGCATCAGCCAATTCCACAGAGAGATGTTGTCGGCTTTCAGTCCTCCTCATGCTGGGGGAGTCGCCAGGGGACTGTGTTGGACAGGGAGCCAGTGGAGACAACTGCACACAGTCTCTCTCCTGGGTTAACTCCACTATAGTCTGGATGGAAGAGAAACATTGAGAGGGCAGGTTGTGAGATTTCTGGTTGTTTAGATGAACCAGAAAGCAGGACATAAATGCAAGGGCTGTTACGTAGAGGTCAAACTCAAAGTCAGGGAAAAAAATAAACATACCATAAAAAGCCAACCACTAAAATAAACTAAACTAAATCACCTTGAATCTTTATTTAGGAGAATCTGTACATCTGTCAGCCAGGTTGCTTTGTAAAGCAACAGTTAAAATACTTTAGTAGTCTACAGCAGACTGGGATTCAACAATGGGACTAGAATGGACTAAAAACAAAGAGCAGAGTAGATTAATGGATTCAACAAAAGCACCCCCACCCCAAAACTAGACTACAGGCGCTAGGGCAAAAAGTGCATCCACAGTCCAACACACAGCCTATTTTGATCTAGTGCCCGTGACAGGAAATGGGATTTTAATTGAGAGCGGCTGGACTACAGAGTGATAATCTGGAGGCTATTAGAACCTCTGATACACACACACAAAAAGACACACACAAAGATCTGCTATATCAGTTGTGGGCATCTGTACCCTATGGGTTGGAAACTCAATTAATGACGCATATACTCGAACACACACACACACACCCTCCATCCATGAGACAGTTAACAGTTTCAACCCTTCCTTCCTGAGGCTGCTCTCTTGTGGTAATGGCAAAAAAGGCAAAAAGTTTCCACATAACCCTCCTAAATGCAGCCACTCATTTTCATGAGCAAAATGCTGTTTGGAGGTGTAACAGACTCCACAAACACACATCTGCCCGTGACAACACCCCCCCCCCCCCCCAACACTAAAAAGAGAAACGAAAAAAAAAGCAAAAAGAACCACACATAATTTACTGCACTTTCCTTGTTGCGCTTTGCTGTTTGGCTTATGTTGTTTGGTGATAAAAAATAACCTCTAATAAGACATAATAAATCTATGTCATATACATATGAACATGTCATTACCTCCAGCTGTGTGTCCCTTTCATCCACCAAGCGTTTGAGGTGAAAAGCCAGGTTTCTGGAGAGGTTGTCCAGATCCTCAGGAGGCATTTCCCCACTTTCCAACCACTGCAGGTCCACTACGTTCTCCTGATTATGAGTCACCTAAAATCACCGCCATCGTATCATTAATAAGACTTGCTGTTTAAAGATACATTAAAAATTAGCATTTATAAACACCCTGTCAGACTGGTATATTTTACAAGTTTGATTTCCAACAGTCTAGCTGCCATACAGTGAACTTCTTCAGCGTGTGCCACCATTACCACACATCAGGTAATGGAGCCAGAAGAGGTTTACCATGGTCTAAGAAGTTAAATATCTTAATTCTCTCCAGTTTTGTTTACTATGGAGGAGAAATACCTCTTGGATGTGGGATGCTATGGCAGCTTTGCTGTCAAAGTCCAAGATCTGGATACGCTCAATGTAGTCTTCCTTCTTCTCGCACTGTAAACAGAGAGGGTGGGGGTGGGTGGGGGGCATGGAAAAATTAAGACTGTGGTTATTATGTTAGAAGAGAAGAGAAGAGAAGAGAGAAGAGAAGAGAAGAGAAGAGAAGAGAAGAGAAGAGAAGAGAAGAGAAGAGAAGAGAAGAGAAGAGAAGAGAAGAGAAGTGAAGTGAAGAGCAGAGAAGAGAAGAGAGTTAGAGAGTTAAAGAGTTAAAGAGTTAAAGAGTTGGAGAGAGAAAGCAGAAGTTGCTCTGATACACAAGTTTCCAGGAAGGCAGCAGTTGTATTTAGGAAAGAAGTCTAGTCTTCAAACGCAAGTTTATCTTCTGGATCAGACAAAGATCATTTTCCTCTCTTGCTGGCAGTAGATGAGATTAGAACAAGACTGTTGAGCTCTTTCTTTTTGCAACAGCAACAGGTGCAGCTGCACTGCATACAGGCTTGAAGTAGACACAATATTAAGTCAGAGTTACACCCTTGAATACAACTATGGTGTCTTTCTGCAAACAATAGAGTTGGTGAAAGGTCAGTGTTCTTATTTGAAATGCAGTGTGTAAGAGCTGAATGGATGCTTTGTCACAAGACAGGAAAAGGTCTGCTATGCCATTCATAACACAGCATTAGCTGTATGATAGAGTTAGAGTTGATTTATTTTATCAAAAGGAGCAAGTGGCAGTAATTGCAGGAGGCCAAATAGAGACTTCTTCCAAAATTAGATTTCTGGCTTTGGAATTAAATTGCTACAAGATGACCCATGAAAATAATAAAATCTCTTTCTGAAAGAGTGCTTGTCGTCTGTTATGAATTTGCTTGGTTCCTGCTCCTTGAAACCGGAATTATATATGCACATGTGAAGTGTGCAAGTGTTTCAGTCGAGTAAACTGTGCTCTTACCTGAACAGCACAGCCTAGTAGCAGCAGCAATAGTTTCTTCATCTCTTCCAGACCTTGCTCTAAAAAAAATAAATAAAAAAGACACAAAGATTGTAACTACAGCTAAACCACTGTGAACATGTCTGCATAAAACACCAACAACAACAAATAAAACAACAGCCAATTTATTGTCATTGTAATTCTGTCTTGTTCCTGTTTTTGTCTTGTCTGATAATCTGTTCAACTGGCCTTTGTGGCTCAAGGAGAAGTAAAAATACACAGAAGGTCGATGGATACATATTATGATAGATGTTTTGTCGATAGCTTTGGAAACCCTTATCTACAGCAATTCATTACAACAGAAATCTGGTGATTGGTGGAGGACGATAGCTGATAGATTTGTAAATTTTACATTTGTACTACATTAGTTTCTGAAGTTTTATGAAGTGCTTAGTGTTTCAAAGGCAGATGGGGTCTTACTCTACTCACCTTTGCCTTTAGGTTTGTTACAATTCCCCCCTAATAAAACTTCCTCCTCTAGTTACAGTGCCACAGTGTTTTCCACATTGTAGTGGGCTGGCAGGATGAACTTCCAGTACTCTTCCACATGTCAGGACATATTGTCAGAAACTGCAGAAACCCACAAACAGCTGCCGCCATGCTCAACAGGCCTGAGCTCATCTGTGGGATTTGGGCCTGAACAACACTAAACCAGGTGGTGTATGTGTGTGTTACACTGACTAAGTGGTATGGTATACGCAAGTTGTGTGCATCTGTTTCTAAGTCTGTGTGCTTTCCCTATTTTGAGCAGTGTGCGTGTGTGTGTGTGTGTGTGTGTGTGTGTGTGTGTGTGTGTGTGTGTGTGTGTGATAAGCCAGCTCATCATGTGGTCCAGGGGGCAGTGAGTGCTAACACTGTCCGGCTCTAATAATAATAAATCCAGATTAGTGACAGCATGCTTTCTGTGGAGGGTGGTCTGTTTTCCTCTCAGTTTAATGGGCCAATCATCACAGCAGGAACAGCTAAATAGCAGGCATACAGAAAGACAATGTCTTTACCATTTGTGTGTCTTTCCAAATCATTTAAAATACAAAATAAAGAAATAAATGAGATTAATCAAACCACCTCTCAGAGTTACTGCAAATTATATATTAATCTCCCAAAAAAATGACTCTGCTGGAGAAAGGAGTCTGATTGTCTATGTAAAGCACCAATTTAGAGAGTGACAAACAAACCACCCAGCATGTCCTTTGGGAGGGCTCAGTATGTCAAACAGAATGCGTCTCATTGTCTGGCTCTATCCATCAATTTTACAGAATCTTCCACACAATCAAATCAATCTCCCCGCTCTCATTCCGTTTGAATCAATAGAGAAACACAAGTCAGCGTATTATTGAGCAACCGAGAACTCCCTGTGGTCACGAAGTGGCAGGTTAGACCTTCACCTTTTTAAGATGGAGATCAGGATTATTCTCATGGCAGTTAATAATTGGATCCTAGGCCCAAGCCAGATATCAACACTGATAAATTTGAGAAACCTTCTGCTTTATTACTTTCTATAGACTGAAAATTTGTTCATACTGTACTGGTGCTAAATCAGCGATGACAGGCAGGTTATTTTGTATATTCACCTGGTGGAAAAGTCTATTTACTGATTAAAACTGGCTAATGTTTGGCTATATCTATCACAGTCCAGAAATTCAGTTGTAATTTTATTTGTTCTGTACTGTAGCCAAAGAAAGGCAGAATTTGTTTTTGTAGCTCTAAAAACAACTTTCCAGCCACTGGGTTGGACAGCACCGCTAAATAAATGTAAAGAAAACCAATTATAAATGTACTCAATGCACAGAAAGTGTGGGTGAGAGCTGTACCGCAAGCAAAGGAAGTTTAAACTTTAAACTCCTGTCACCTTGTCTGTGTACAAGAGGGCAACACTTTGAATGCCTTCCAGGAGAGCCTGTCAAACAGTGTGTGCCATTATCCTTATATTATCACATCTTGCCCTTCTGTGTGACAGCAGGTTTTTCACCTTTGAGTGAGGCTGTTCTGACACTTTTGCCTTCCGCCATGGTCAGACAACGCATTATACAAACTAGTTCTTTGTCCAGTCCAGCAGCAGCTGTAGTTAACTTGCTAAAACAACTGCACCTCTGCAGAGGACTGCTTGTACAAGTATCACCCAGACATAAATGACATGGCTTTTTGAAAAGCTAATATCCATTACTCCTTAAATCCTTAAAATGATTAAATATATTTTGAATACAAAGTGATTACTTCTAGGAACTATTTTGCCACCCACAAACTTCAGTTATCTGCTATGATGGTATGAAATCAATTCAGAGGATTTTTACTGTTCTCAGAGAGTGAATATTGTGGTGTGCTTAGACAGTCTTGGTCAATACTAGAGAAAGACAGAAAATGTTTGAATTCATCATCAGCCCCTGTATTTATGACATGAAAAGAAATATTAAACACATAAAGAGAATATGAGCGAATGTGGGCCTAGAAGGGTGACAAGCTGATAAAACTTAATTCTCACTGCTGCAGGGCTTAACAGTTCTCTATTAGCCATAGGAACCTATTCTAGTCAGGGAAGGGATTTAGCTCAGCAAATCTACTGGAGCAACGAATGAAAGATAAGGGACCTCATAGGATAAATAATTTATAAAGCTGGAGCGAGAGAGCAAGAGGGAGAATCGGTAAGGGGGAGATGAAAGAAAGAGAGACAAAAGAGGGGAAGCACCACAGAGCATACGCAACACAAACACAGGGGAAGAAAATAGAAATAGAGAAACCAAGAGAAAGAAAGAGCAGGAGGAAGGCAAAGAGGCAAGGTTGAAAATAGACAATAGAAATCTCCCTCAAGCAGCAGCTACAGCAAGGAGGCTTCAAGGAGGTGCTACCCATCTCTCTGCTAGCCTCATCTTTTCTCTATCCCTCTCTTCCTTCCCTGACACAGACTCACTTCATCGATAAATTTATTCTCTGCAACACACATCCACCCATCCTTCCTTCCTTCCCTCAGCATTGTTACAGATCATCTGTACCTCCTATGAGTTTGCATTCACTCATCTAGGCTTCCTTTTTCACCTCCTTTCCTCCCTCCCTGTGTTATCCTCTTAGCAGGAAACCAGAGGTCAGAGGGACAGTGACTAACCCTTCTTCCTGCAATGCCATTGTTAATCTGTCCATGCGGATGTGAGTAAATGAGAAGGAAGAAAAAAATGTGTGTTTGCCTCTGCCATGAAGAATAGAGTCATACAGGCCCCAATGACTTGCTTGTCAGTGATAAAACTAGTACAAGCAATCTGATATTGCTTTGACAGCATGCCAGAGTGTATTTGACCATTTCACTGGAGCAGAGGACAGACATGGCTGAACCTTATCTTCAGGGCTGTTGTGCTTTATAAGACAAGATACAGTGTCAAGTGACATCAAAGACAAACAGCCCTGAGCTGAGGTCAGAGTCATGAGCAGCAATGCACGCAACCCAGTCTAAGAGCCACACAGTGACCACTGCACTGGCTCACGACTACCATAAAGAAGAAGAATTATAAAAATAAGAAACATGTTGTTCAAATTGGTATTTTCTCAAGTCGATCTTCACTGTTTCAGTCTTACAACTTACAAAGTTAACCCAGCACTTACATACCAGTCATACACACACAATTCTGTCTATTGTTTCTTATGGAGACACTGGACACAACACTGTGAAAACAGACTGTATAAACACACCAAACATTCGCCCAAACACAGAACACTGTTTAACTCTTCTAGCAAAAATAGCAGGCCTGACTTGGACACACACACAGACACACACACACACCTGTCAAACCCCTCGGTTTATGCTTTCTGTCAGCTGTCAAGTGAACAACAGTTGTCTCTCCTGTTGTTGCTACTGCTCAATTATTTTCTGCCTATGAAGAAGTGCTTTCATCCAAAACCATCTTTTGTCTTCCACATGTTTGGTCATATTTATTCATAAAAATCTATATTAATAAAAAGATAAATAAATCTGGATTGAATCTGGGATTTTAAGTGGCAAGCTGTCAACTGTGCAGCGTTTTCCTTCAGTAGCAGAGAGAGGATACGACTTCTCCTGGTCAGTCACTGTATATTTATTGCTCCGTATTTAATAGAAACTGCAGCTGCAGACCGTATTCATGCAACAATTATAACTGCTGACTTATAACCAGCTAAAGATCAGCCGATACATCAGGTATCAGTTTTAGGGCGGAGAGGAACACTGATAATCACAAACACAATTTGAGGGGAAAGAATTTTTTTCAGATCACTGCAGAAAATTCACAAGCTTCAAGACAGACTAGACAAAGGAGATTCAATGAATGTTTGTTTGTGTGTCTGTGTGTGTTCGTGTGTGCGCCGACATGTGCATGCAAGCATACTCACTAAACACTACTTGCATGCAGAAGTGAGTGTGTGTCTGTGCATCTCACTGAGCCTGTATATACAAGGCAGACTAGGGTAAATCAGAGCCTGGGGCGGTGGGGTGGGGTGGGGTGGGGTGGGGGGGTGGGGGGTGTACTACAGTGCATTCCCACTGTTCAGTGTTGTGAAGACACCCCTCCCCCAGCCACCGCCTAAACACACACACGTGCATGCACTCACACACACGCAGAGTCGTCCCCTGCCCCCTAATGAGAGCATAATAAAAGCCACATGGCCAATGACTTTCAGCTGGCAGCCACTGAGCCAGAGAGCCAGACTCCACAGCCACCGCTGGTCTGAAGGGCTGGCTGACTGACTGATTATCTGACAAGCTAGAGGGTAAAGGGCAGAAGAAACCCCGAGGAATGCAGTCTAATACTTTTGGCCTGCTCTGGTCCACTTGCTCCGAGCTGCCCTCTACTCCTGTCTGCATTGACTTTAGAATTCACTTAGTAATCACTTCAGCCGTGTGTAAGGCCACTGTGTAAGGCTGGAAGATTTTCAAGGCGCTGCACATATACTGCTGTGAAATCTCAAACAGTAGACATTATTTTGAGAGTTCTGTTAATGAAAGACTCCCTCTTGGCTTCACAATGACTTAACTTTATTGATTATTATGGGAAGCAGCACTAAGGAATGGATAAAATGTCAAAAGAAAGCTGTTTTAGTAGTTTGTAGTGAAGTTAATATTAGTTATAATTTATACTGCAATAAACTGAAAACTACGGGATTGTTTTAGTCTTAAAATGATGACAACCTGTCGTCACTGTTACTTTGGGAGAGCGGTGGTAGATCTTTTTTTTATCCCTAAGGTAAATCAACAACCAAGTAATCCTTGCATGAAACAGGAACACAAAGACACACTCTCAGTTGTGTGTGTGTGCTCACTGCTGCTCCTTTTGTATCTGTTTACCCTTCATGCCAGTGGGGGCATATGAAAATGAAAGAGGTAACTGTGACCACTGAAAAGTGATGAAAACCACAGCAAAGGCTGCGGTGAAAGTGTGACAAAGGCAGCTGAGGGAGCAAAAGGATTGAGAGGCCATTTCAGCTGCTTCAAAAGATGCATATATCTTTCAATGAGCTCTGTCAGCTGCGCCTGGAAACAATTCACTCTGAAGAGCTAATAATTACATTTGCAGAGATGTACATTAAGGCAATGAGCCTTTGTGTGGACCTTTGTGTGTTTGCTAAAACCACTAGAAGGACATTGGATTGGTTGTTTTACTTTTGGAAAAGGTTTTGCAGTGGGGGGCTACTGTGCCAATAACTGCTCTATGTGGACTAGAAAGCAAGAGGTTACTAATCACATAGATCTCCTTTTGTCCATACAAACCTTTTATTTCCACAACTGATGCACCATGATCTTAAACGATTGCCTGTTAATAGTCATCTTCTCTGCACAGTGACTTTATCATGGTCACATTGGAATATCAAGTAGCACTTGGGGGTGCGTAGGTCAAGCGGCTCAAAAATATTTTCATGACAACACTTGACACTGCACTTTTGTTGCTAGGCCACTCAGACATATCAAATAGCAAGACTGGGTTCAGAAGGTCAAAGCTTTGCTCCAAAATGATTAAATTGATCTTTGAATTTAACACTTCAGGTAATAAAAGATGGCAGATATGGGCTGCAAGGTCCCTGTGGATAGCATGGGGATTTACATAGTACAAGTTAACTCTTACCAAGGCAAGAGTGACAAAGAAATGAGAAACTTGGTTTTGTCCTTTAAACCAACCTATCAATCTGTCAGTCTCCCGTCACCTGAACAATAAAATCCACATTTCCCCCTTTAATTCTGCCATGATGTCCAACTTGTAGTGATGTGGGTTATGAGTGAAATAGACAGCTAATTACTGAGCATGTGGTGAAACAAAGAAAAAGAAGTAGCTGGAAAATGGGATCTACAGCCTGAGATAAAGTCACTTGAACAATCAAAAAAACAATAGATAATTAAAACAAATCTATTGTTACACAGCAAAATTATATATGTCCTCTTTGTGATCTGTATGCATGCTGTTCATGTGATGTTTTGAGAAGGCAGGAATATTTTTTTGTTTTGCTTATGTTTGGAAAAGCCATGTGCACTTAAATTAAAACCAGCACGGCACTGGTCAAAGTATAAGCTATGTTGTGGTTGTATTTTTTTTTAGGACACTTACCAGAGAGAGGGTTTCGGCCCAGTACCAGGACATTTGGTAAAGGCATCATTACCAGTTGCTGGAGACTCTCCTGTCAGACAAAGACATAAAAAAGAAAGTGGTCAGGAGGAGAGAGCATTTTGCCACTTTGTGTGCGGTTATTCAACATGTCATTAGAAAATTCAAGCACTTAAAGTACGGTTTACAAGTGACTGATGAAATAACTGACTGATGGAATTAGTGTAAGTCAAAATTGTTGCCAATAAGAACTCATTATGAACAGACCTCAGCATTACATGTATCTATTTTAGCCAAGAGAGCTGAGGTTTCCAGTGCACGTTGACATCCAAGAGGGTTGATTACAGTAAGAATATAACACTATAACGACAATCCCCAGGGCTCTGACATTAGACTGTAATATCACCTCAAATCAAAGACAGTAATAGTGACCGGCAGGCCTGAGGTATAGAGCGGGCAAGGTGTACACTTCAAAAGATTGAAGACAACCAAGGGACACCAACAGTATCAATCTTCTATGGTGGACAGGCGAGATGGTCTCGTGTGTATTAGTGATGTTATCCAATGTGTGCGAGTGTGTGTATATGAGTTGATGCCAGTGGTATTTATGTGGGTTAAATTGCTGGTGTGGGTTGTGCCGCAGGGCCCCCTCCATTCACATGTCAATCATGAAAACCAAAATGAAACCATGAGCTTCAATTCACAACACTCATACAGACACGACTTATGTGCACACAGACACACAGCGAGTGAGGATGGGTAGGACTTAATTACTGTTGATGTTTTGGTTTGAGTCAAATCATTTCAAATAATGGGAACTGCAATAGAACATAAACAAGCTATCAGCAACCAACTAATTACTTACATTCATATCTTTACACAATTATATTTCCAAATGTTTTCCCTGGTTATGATGCCAAGTGCATTCACTTCAAAAGGTCCATGATGCATTTCCCCTAGTGATGCATTATAATCCTATATGGCGGCAATGACTCAACAACAGCCTGCCAAAAATATTTTTATAGTCCTAACCTTTAAGGCAGTATAAACAAAGTCCAAACCACAGTTGTGTTAAAAGGGAAGGCCAGTTTCTTTAAGCAGAAAGGACATGAAGTTCAGCTAACATGAATAATTTCATATCTACCTGATGGCATAGAACAGTTTGAACTCATCTGACCCGTCGCTTCAACTATGCTATGCAGGTTACTGCTGAAGTCATGACAAAGAGGCTTATATAAGTAAGGGGTTTTGGAAAAGCCCCCTTCCCACTGTAACCATCTGCCCTATACATATTGCATTACCTCATGAAAACCTGACATCACTGGATGGTTTTGATTGGTTAAAAACAGAGCCACATCTGTGCAGCTTTCATGCATTCTCAAAATAATCAAGTTGACCAAGAGCTGATTAATTCAAAAGTGCCCTAACATACCTTCTACACATTTCTAACCTGCCTCAAAATCATACTGTAGAAGCACAAGTGCTGCAGGGACAAAACAAATCCCTGCTGCTTGCCACTGCTAAGGCCAGGTCAAAAAGAGGACACTGTACATAATAGGATATTCTTCACACATCACAGACTTATAGGCAACATAATATATTTCTCACTAATCTGTAGAAAGATGCTCATGTTCCTGTCTGAGATTTAGCACCCAGCTTTGAACGAATGAGCTTCTGTCTCTAAAAGTAGGATGACTAACCCCTAACATGATCATTACAACCATAGAGTCAATATTATCATATATATACACATAGGATCAGTGCGACTATGGAAACTATGTAAAGATCTGAGATTCTGTCCTTGCACACAACTGTAAAAAAGTCTTGTGTGTGTGTCCTGTTTCAGATTATACATCTGGCATTACCAGGTTCCACAAACAGGTGAATTGTAACAATTAATTCTATTGATTTTGGGAGTTCATAAACTTGAACCAGTTAACTATACATCATGTTAGTTTGCACTGGTTAACTACACATCAATGCAGACATATGATTATGTTTTCTAAGAGCACATTTCCTAACCCCTAAGCTGCAGTTTTGATAAAATGTCAAATGACTATTCTTTCTTACAAGATTTCCTTTAATTCCATAATTCACACCTGCCTCCGAACACAATGCGCTTGTGTTTGAGGAACCAACACATGTCATTGTTTCTCCATGTCAAGGGAAATTTATTCAGTACAGTTGCAAACACAATTTCAGCTATATCCGCCTTATCAGAGCTTGCAGCAGAGGCAACTCTGACGCCTGTGGTCATCTAAACCTTTGTTGGCTGTTTGATTTGATGCAGACACAGAAAACCGCTGGTTTACAGAGCAAGATGTGGAGAATGGCTCGACAGCTGGCCAGTGCATCTGGTTTCAAGCAGATAATAATACAGAGTGACAGACAGACAAATGAGAAGCTGCAACAAGATGTATCATAATGTATTGTAGAGTGTGTTGATTATTTTGTCCCCATCTGCATTTAATGATGGTGGGTCCAGTTTTGCAATTCACATGAAGTTCAATTCATGAAATGTGTGTGGAAAAGCACCATGTTTCATAGATACAAACCTATGAACAAATATGTGACACTGCTCATTATACACCCACTGTGAGACCCACTTTAATAAATGAATGTATTATCACAAAAAAAAGAAATAGTCTGACTAAATCTATTCAAGAGGAGACCAAAATCATGATGGATGTCGGCTTTAATCTCCATACACACACAGAGACACACAGTGAGGCCTCTATGACTTGAGGTGAAGGTCAAAGTTTGGGCTGCAGTGATGGTCAGTCACGGTTATTAGGTTACGGGCATGGTTGCCATGGTTTCCTGTCATTGGTGATAAGAGCACTGACCCCAATTGCCCTCTCTGTCCATCTTTCTGTCTACACCCGGTTATGGGGCCTTGCATAGTAAGAGGTTATGGTGTATTATCATGCCATCCTTGAAAGAAATAATAAGGCCAGCCATGTCCAAACACGTCTACGGAAAATGTATGAGACGATTACCTTTTCAGATGCACAAATGAGATCAGCCTTTAACCACTACTACAAATAATATAAATATCAACCAAATGTTTTATAAATGCATAGAGAGTAATAGACATCAAAAAATAAGGTGAAAAACAACACAACAGATAATGATGATATACTGTGATCATAATAACAATGACTAATATACGGCAGTTCCAGTCCAAAATGACCACAGACTGAGACAGATTGACTCACCAAGCGTCAGACAGAATAATCAGCATAACTCAGACAGCCACAGTTGGTGTCTCACAGAGAGGCATTTGGTGCGCCTGACAGCCAATTCACCATGTAAGATTCAAGGCAGCTACTTTCAGCAAAATCTACCAATACTAAAGGGCAAAGAAACCAGAATCTGCATGAACAAAGAAAACTATGAAGCTTTAGGACATTCTGGGACATCTCCCAAGGTGTCTCTTCAGTATACAGAGAGAAGCATATGAGTCTGATTCCTTCGATGTTTTATGGAATACTGCAAGCTCAGGCCATGGCTCGGGAAAAGGCGGGGTTAAGTCTTCATGGAACACCTTGTATTTGTGATGCTGTGAACTGTTAATACAATGACTCAAGGTCATGACATACTGAACCTTTTTTGAGAACAAAAGAACACCAGCAAAACAGTGTTGTTCTAGTGCTAATTGTGCTTTTAGCTTTATAGAAAATGATCAGTCACCACAGAGAAGAGGTTTCCTACTGGATCTCTAGTTTGGCAACAACAACAGCGCACACACACACACACACACACACACACACACAACACACACACAGACACTTTTCTCACTCTCCCCTCAACCACCTGTCCCAACTCTGACCACTGCTCCCCATTAACTCACACTCACACCTGTCTCCCCTTCAATGGCAGCATGTGTTTGCTGTGTAAGCACAACATTTCAGGCTGTCACGCTTTTCATACCACCCAAACATACAGTGATGACATTTCAATTCATAGGCAGACAGGTATAGGTTCACACTGCTGGGATTCAAGTATTTAGCTTTTAATGAACACAAGTGCAGGGAAAATTTACAATAAAGGCTCAGCTTCATTGTATGTATCATTTTTTTTACACAAACAGATGGTGTAGGTCTGGCACTCTTGTTCCAACCCAAAATGATTCATTTCAACTGATTTCCTCTCTTTTCAGTTAAAGAGCTTGCAATGCAACAATCTGTATTGTGCACAGTCATGAGTTTGGTGCAACACTATACCTATTCAGTACCACTTTTCCTTCCTTTCCTTCCCTTCTCAAGGGTCCACTGAGCTGTGTTTCTCTGATCTTCCCTGGTGTTAGATTTGAGCTTTCTTTTAAAAAAAATTAAGACAGCATGAGCTTCTGATGCATTTTCTCTTACTGTTAATCTGTATTCTGTACATGACTTTATTACAGTTAAAAGACAGATTGTGGTACTATAGGACTAATGCAGACTACATGTTTGATAGATGTTGAGAGTAGTTACCACACTGTGTCTTTCCTGCAGAGTCTGGCACAGCTACAGCTTCATATCTCTCTCCCGATGTGCACAAAGTGGTGTAAAATGACTAAATTTTATACCATATGGAGAATGAAATGAAATCACCACTTACAAACTACAGGGTTCTGGCTGCTTAAGGAGCCGGAAATAGCCAAAAGAGCTGCAAACTAAGGCACTCAAGTCCAACCAACTTTATTTGTATGTTGCTAAAACTGGATAATGCATGTGCTCCTAATACAGCACCTTAAATATATTGCTAGTCAAATGTACTGTATTTTTGCGGGATGCGGGTAATGACATGCTTTGAGGATTAGCTGCAGGCTAATACAAAGCTAAACTACAGTAGCCTAACATGCTTCTTGGATTAACTGGCAAAGGCTTAGCTCTCATACATAAAACATGACGGACACTGCAGGAGAGAGACCAGCCACCACACTGAGCATGTCATGGCGATGTGCTACAAACACTGAGAGGCATGCACGTGCACACACATGCTAACACATCTTTCAAATGGAAAGCTGTCCCTGCCTCGCTGTAGCTGTGACAGCAGAAACGTCCTTGGCTTGGTCACTTTGTCGCTCTT